GGAGAGGGTGGGTGATGTGTATTGAGGAGGGCACCTTTTGGGATGAGCATTGGGTGTTGTATGGAAACCAATTTGACAATAAATTTCATATATTAAAAAAAAAAGAAAAGAAAAAAAAATAAAATATTTAAAAAAAAAAAAAAAGAAAATTCACTCCTCTAGATGGAGATCCCATTAATATTTAAATGGATGTCTCAGATTTCTTGAGTCTTCTTTAAAGTTTCCTTCAAAGCTTTGTCACGTGGTTCCCAGATCTTTCACCGTCTTGTTTGTCTCATGAACATAGCCCCATGGATATGGGTAGTCCCAGTGGATAACCATTTAAAATAGAGGTCCAAGAACTGGATACGATATTTTCAGATGCAGCCTGATTCACACAAGGTACAACAGAATCTCCCTTGGTTCATAATATGGTTCCACTATTACAGCCTACAATAGCACTAGCATTTTTAGTGCCCATGACAATATTGACTCACATAGAATGTACTAAAATTTCCGTCTTTTTCATTCCTTTGTCCCCTTTGTCTGTTTTTATACAACTAGGTACCATCCACACATAGCTGTCTCACCTGTGCTTTTCCTGTCTTCCCTCCTCAAGCAGGCCGCAGATGGTGGACCTAAGGAATGGGAGCACAGTGACAGAGTTTATCCTCGTGGGCTTCGAACAGAGCTCCTCTTCCACTCGGGCATTGCTCTTTGCCCTCTTCCTAGCCCTCTACAGCCTTGCCATGACCATGAATGGCCTCATCATCTTCATCACCTGGACAGACCCCAGGCTCAACAGCCCCATGTACTTCTTCCTTGGCCATCTGTCCTTCCTGGATGTCTGTTTCATCACCACCACCATCCCACAGATGCTAATCCACCTGGTGGTCAAGAACCACACTGTCTCCTTTGCCTCCTGCTTGACCCAGATGTATCTGGTTTTTGGTGTAGGTGTGGCCGAGTGCATCCTCTTGGCTTTTATGGCCTATGACCGTTACGTTGCTATCTGCCACCCACTCAGCTATGCACAGATCATGAGCCGGCAGGTCTGTGTAAAGCTGGTGAGTACTGCCTGGTTCTTTGGGCTGATCAATGGCATTCTGCTTGATTATATGACATTTCGTGGTCCATTCTGTAGAGACAACCACATAGAAAACTTCTTCTGTGAGGCCCCCATAGTGATTGCCCTCTCTTGTGGAGACCCCCAGTTTAGCCTGAAAATGATCTTTGCCGATGCTATTGTGGTGCTGCTGAGCCCCATGGTGCTCATTGTTATCTCCTACGCCCGCATCCTGGCCTCCATCCTTGGCAGAACCTCTTCCTCAGGTCGGGGGAAGACCTTCTCTACTTGTGCCTCCCATCTGACTGTGGTCATCTTTTTCTATACCTCAGCCATGTTCTCTTACATGAATCCTCGCAGCACACATGGCCCTGACAAAGACAAGCCTTTCTCCCTTCTCTACACCATCATCACCCCCATGTGTAACCCCATCATCTATAGTTTTCGAAACAAGGAAATGAAGGGGGCCATGGTGAGGGCCCTTGGGAGGACCAGCCTGGCCCAGGCAGAATCTATCTAGTGGGAAGACTCCTGGAAGAGAAGTCCCCCCCCACCACCCAAGTCTTGACAATTGGGCAACTCTCCAATGCTGAGAGCCTCCAGGAAAGAGCATTCATAGCTTTCTTTCTACTAGCATCAGTCCTGGAAGATCCTGTTGATGTCTAATGCTCATCTGTCTGATTTCACTTCCAGTATAGATTGATCTTTCCAAATTTCTCTTACTGATACATGTTCATGATTGGAGGGGCAAGTAAAATGAAATGGAAAAGTTTATTCCAAATTTGGGGGAAAGGTAGTAAGCTCTTCAAGAGAAAGACAGTAAGAGGATGACCATTCCATTCTTTGGAGCATTTCTTTCTAGGGCAAAGGCAATTAGCAGGAGCCCCAGCTTTGGGAAAAGAACAGACTGAGAGCCATGTGGGAAACAAAGGGATGTATATAAGTTTGGGAAAAAGCAATGGATGGGAGAAATGTGTTAAGGGGTATGTAATATTATCCCTATATGGTGGCTACAAAATTCTCCAAGAAAGTTCCCAGAAAAAGTAAGAACTGATGAATAGGATTGTATTACTCCTCCAAGGAAACAAGAGGAGGAGCTATATGCCAAATACATGTGAATTCTTAATGGGAAGGTGGGAGGGCAGAAGCAAGAACAGGAAGTCTGAGGGGTGCATCCACATCCCCAGATTGTAAACTGGGAGTGGGAGCTATAGAATGAAATCTTGTAGGGTCAAGGAAGCTTCCAGTGACATCTGCATTTTATAAGAATATAAAAAGAGCACTTTAAGTTTTTTGTGTATTTGTTCACTTTCGCTGGAAAAATTTTGTTCCCTGCCTGGACGCATGTTGTGCAATTTAAATATTTCCCTTTTGTTCTTGGAGATTTCTTCCTCTCTCTTGTTTTACTTATAATACACTACATTTCCAAGACTCTGCTCACACCTCTATCTCTTTCTTCCCTGCCCGTATTCAGTTACCTAAAGTCCAGAGCAGGAGTTCTCAGCAGGGATGATTACTTCCCCCAGGAGGTATTTGGCAATATCTGAAGACATTTTTTGGTTGTCATAACAGGAGGAGGGTGTGTGCAACTGGCACCTAGTATGTAGGGGTCGGGGATGCTGCTGAACATCCTACAATACACAGACCAACCCCCATAATAAAGAATTATGCAACCCAAGAAATCAATAATGCTGAGGTTGAGTAACCCTGGTCAGGAGATAAAGTATTAAAAGGACAGAATGAGGAAGATGATGAGAGGAATTGATATGGGAAAAAAAAGAGGCAGGAGGAAACCAAGAATTTAGGACGCAGAATTTTGTCTACAAAGACACTTCTGGTTTACCATGGGCAGGATTTCTGCTGGCACTGCCACGGCAACAATCTATATAAGTAGATGTGATAAAACCTGCTCTAAAACCTCTGTGTTTATCCCTATCTGAGTCTACCCTTACTCCTCTACTTATCTCAAATTATAAGACTTTTCCTACTCAATCACATCCTTCTGCCTGCCACTAGCATGGACTCCTACTTAAATTCTGCCCGTTTCCTCTGTTACTTCCATTCAAACTTCATCCATCCATCAGTGATCTTTCTCTTGTTCCCACCAATCTCACATTCTTGCCTAGCTCAATCCTATCATTCATTGTCTTTGCTCATTTGCATTATGATTCCTGCAAATGCCATTCAGTGCAACCCGTGAAAACCATGTGCCCTCTAATAGGAATACTTTCTAGAACGTCAACATTTTTCTCATTCACCTTATCAATCTCCCTCTTTCATCAATGTGTATATTTCCCCCACCCATATGCTCCTCTCATATAAAGGATCCACTCTTCCTTTTATGTATGATGGATATTTTCTTTTCCCCTATAGAACTAAATACATACCTTCTCCCTCTGATCTGTGTCCTGGCAGACAGACCTTTGTTTGCTGCCTCAATGGGTTTTGATGCCTTCTACATCCTGTTGGGCTCAACTAATAAGAGTTACTTAGCAGGATAGAGGAAGGCAGGAGAGTTAGTGAGTGAGGCTCTTTATTCTTCTGCTTCTTCCCTGATGTCCCAGAATTACTGTCAGGTGTCCTTCTCCAAAATCTCCCTTTCCTGTCCCCATAAGGTGGTACCTGCTTTCTGCTCTTGAGAGCCTGGGATGCTTCAACATCCCTTTCCGATTCCCCTAATCCTGTTCACATCCTGGTAAGCCCCCTCATTAGTCCTATTTAAGTATGCCAACCATTTCCTCCCAGAACACTGACTAACAAGTACCGGGCACATATTAGCAACCGTGAATTGAATTTTTTTTCAAAATAGGCCATATACTAGTCAATAAAGCATATCTCAAAACATTTTAGATATGGAATCATACAGATCAAGTTCTCTGACCATGATACAGTTAAGTTAGAAATCAGTATCAAAAAGGTAACTAGAAGGAAGCCCATATGGTTAGAAATTAAGAAACACAACTCTAATTAACCTACATACCAAAGAATGAGGTATAAGTCTAGTTCAACGTGGAAAGAATAAAAAGCTTGGAAGTTGCTGCTCCCACACTCACCAATAAAAAAGGGTAAACAAACAAAGTCAGCAAGACTTCTTAGATCTATCAGAGAATTGAAGTCACAGGAAAAACCGCCACCCCAAAAACTTGGAGACAAGGGAACACAGAAAGTTACAGCTTTCTGGGAGTAGAAGCCGCATCTTGAGCCTGGCCAGAACATTAAAGGAAAATGAACTATTACTAGAGACTGAGCATAGGCTAGCTTCAGAGATAAAAACTACTGAGGTCCTGCCCTTAGAGGAGCTCTCATAGTTTCATGAGTTTTACTTCCAGCAGCCCCATCGGTTTCTCATGATGAACATCAGGAAATAAACCCCCTGTGCTTCAGCAAGAGGAAGGGAAAAGTTAGCATTTTGAAATAAACCCAGAGAGCACTGTTCTCCCTAACAGTCTGCCCTCAAGGAAAACTATTTTGTGAGAACCTAACAAATCTGGGGGAGGATCCAAGAAAAAAAAGGAAAACTGAGAGGGACCTATGAAGGTTACAGCCCAGGGACAAGGGCTCACTAGGAGACTGAGACCTAATCATAAGACTATGGAATTCTTCCACTCCCCTGTACCTTGCTACCACATCAGTAAGGCTGGAGAATTTCAAGGAGTACAGCTGAAAGAGCTGAATCCTCAGACCTTATTTATGAAGGAGTCTCTGGGGAAACAAAAAAAAACAGCAAATGAGACAAAAACGAGGACACTAGAGGAAATTTTAACCTCTGACACCACAACTACAGCAAACATTAAACACTGCCTAATGCCTAACATAAAACTTCCCACTAAAGGCCTATTTGCCTCAGTTCCTTTTACCCAATACCTCATGTCCAGCTTTCAACAAAAGAATTGATTATAATAAAAATTAGACAATTTTACAAATCCAAAACTTGTAATGAAACTATTTACAATTTTGTGGGATGTACCTAGAGCAATGCTTCCTTCTATTAGGAAAAAAAATAAGTGTTAAAAAGTAATAAATTAAGCTACCAACTTAATCACAGAATAATAGATTATGCAAGGAACATAGAAGGAATAAAAATGTATCATATAATTAATTCAAACAAATCTAAAGATTGATTAAATTGATAGAATAAATTAATTTCATAACTGTGGCATGACTGATCAAAAATAAACAGACTTAAACAATACTAAGAATTAAAGGGGCACATAACTGCAGACTTTGCAGAATGAATTATAAGAGGCCTTCTGTTTCTGATATTGGTGGACCATGTAATTTGGACCAACTGTCTCACTAAAAACAGCAAAAGCTGGACATATATTTTAAACTATCCACTTGAAGGCACTAAAGCACTAAAAAAGCAGTGAAGAATTTGGGGGCTGACATCCAGGAACATTCAATCTGCATTTAAGCATGTTTAGAAACAACCAATAAAAGGATTAGTAAAGTGAGTGATATGTCATAAAGAAGATGAAAAAAAGAATAGATAGAGCAAATACATATTTGAAGAGAAAATAGCTGAAATTTTTCCAAAACTGGAAAAGACGTCAATCTACAGATTAAAGAGGTCCTAAATACATCAAAAATACATTATTTATAAAAAGAAATACACACATGAGCACACCATTAGAACTTCTGCAAATGAGAGGCAAAGAGAAAAACTTAACAGCTACCTGAATAAAAAGACAGATTCCCTTCAAAAGAACCACAATTAGATTGACAGCTGTCTTCTTAACAATGAAAGTCAAAATATAAAATTTATTTTACATAAAACTGCATTATGGCAGGCTAAAGAAGGGCTGTAAGTCTAAGAAAGATAACACTCCAGCTAGCTGGAAAAGAACATACACCCACATTGTGAACTGCCTATGGTGGCCATGTGGCAAGGAACTATGGGCAGCCTCTAGGAGTTTATAGCACTGTCTGACTGACACCAGCAAGGAGATAGGTACCTCAGTAGTACAACTGCAAAGGAATGGATTTTGCTGACAAACAGTGAGCTTGGGAGAGGACCCTAAGCCTCAGATGAAATCACAACCTGGTGGCTCCTTAATTTCAGCCTGGTGCAACCCTGAGCAGAATACCCAGCTAACCATACCCAGACTCCTGACCCAAGGAAATTGTAAGATAATAAAATTGTGTTACCTTAAGTCCTTGAATTTGTGGTAATATGCTACATAGCAATTGAAAACTAACACAAGTTTTTAAAATTCTACTATAATACTATGGAAAAATTTATGACATTAAATCTGCTTCAATAAATAGAAAAGTTCTAGAAAAGATACTATTTTCCAGAAATGACTAAGGAAGAAATAGAAAACATGCACACATTTGTAATCATACAGTAAATCAGTAGTTTAAGATTATTTCCACAAAATTGAAGATGACATAAAGAAATGGAAAGACTTTCCATGCTCATGCTCATGGATTGGAAGAAAAAATATTGTTAAAATGTGCATACTACCCAAAGCAATCAACACATTTAATGCAATCCCTATCAAAATACCAACAGCATTTTTCACAGAACTAGAGCAAAAAAATCATAAAATGTATATGGAACCACAAGAGATCCTGAATAGCCAAAGCAATCTTGAAAAAAAAAAAGCAAATCTGGAGGTATCACAATTCTAGACTTCAAGTTCCACTACAAAGCAGTAATAATCAAAACACTGGAACTGGCACAAAACTGGAGACATAGATCAATAGAACAGATAGAAAATCTAGAAATAAACCCATAATTATATGGGCAACTAATCTTTGACAAAGTAGGAACGAATATCCAATGGGGGAAAAAGCTCTTCAACAAATGGTGTTGGGAAAACTGGACAGCTACATGCAAAAGAATGAAACTGGGCCACTTTTTCTCACCATACACAAAAATAAATTCAAAATGGATTAAAGATCTAAATGTGAGAGCTGAAACCATAAAAATTATGAAGAGAGCAGAGTCATTTCTCTGACATCAGCTATAAAAACATTTTTCCAGATATGTTTTCTGAGGCAAGGGAAATAAAAGCAAAAATAAACTATTTGGATTACATCAAAATAAAAAGCTTCTGCACAGTGAAGGAAACAATTGACAAAACTAAAAGGCACCCTACGGAATGG